GGTTTAACAGCCTGCTATTATTTTATAATTGCATCAAAAAAATGCTGTCAATCACATATCATACAATAACGCAACTATAATACTAAACATTTTTTTTGTACTTTTATTCCACGTTCTTCTCAAGAATATTACATGTACAAGGTGGTTTGATGCTACTGGCTCACAAACTGACTTTAGTAATATGTCTTCTCTCTTAATTCATCATTGTTAATAATAATTTATCTATTCAACAATAATCGTAAGGTCGTCAGTCCTAAAACTGGTTGGACACGTTCCTTCCTATCCTGAGCTAATCTTCGCATTTCCTTAAAACTAAAACATATGACATCCTTAATTATTTGTGATCTAGTTTAGGGCTGCCTCTACTCCTCTTAACTCCTGTTTGTGCTTCTAATATGTCTCTGATTAACCATTCTTATGTCTAGTCAACAATGAACTTGATTAAGTCATAATGCCCTTATCTTTTACGTCAAAAGAATAAAAACCCAATTCCACGCCGTTTCAACTGTATAAGTCCAATGTTTTTTTATAATGATATACCTATAGGTATATTCTATTTTACTGAATTTAACTTTTTATCATCGAAAACCCAGGTCATCAAGTCTTTATAATTACTAATAGTAATTATATATGTTAATGACAAAAAATCATCGCAATAGAGATGTAATATAATACAGTTTTACTGCAAGTACCAACTTGGGGCAATCCGAACTCTGACATTACCATTCTGATAGGAAAACTTCGGTAGAAGGAAGTTGGTTTAGAATTTCCTCCTCATTTTGGTTTCTTAGTTATTGTCGGGGAAAATCCCAGGGCTCCAATTTCAATTATAGTAAATGTTCCACCTTATAAACGACACACGTCCGACTCATTAAAAATGTCTAATGTATTTTACTCGAGCTTGATGATGTATTAATTAGTATGTCTCTTAGTAATTGTAAGTCCGAATTTAATCTATTTTGTTATTGCGTTTTTCAAATCGATAAATCCAGATTATAATGGGGATTTTTAACCATTGCCATTTGCATAAGTTTCATTCATATACTTTTTACCTTTCTGTTGCACTCTAAACCTGTTGATACACAATTATCTTCCATTTCCACATACATGACCTTCTATAACGTGCACTCGTACTGGCAAACAATCGCATTCTTTTTAATTTATTTACTTTAGATTTTTCTTGTGCAACGGAAAAAAGTCGGTCTGTACAAGGACAATGCAAAACTTAAAAGTTAGATGCAACTTTTAGAATAATTTCAAATCAGTCACTTTTCGTAAACATGTATACCGTACACAGCGTGATCAAAAAGAAGTAAAACTTCTGAAATAAAATAGAAATTGCTTATAGTATTCCTTTAAATTTATTTAAAGTAATATCCTTCGGATAGAATACGTTTTGAACTCTCCAAACGGTTTCCTCGGAGCGGTTTCTTGAGTTTTGGGAATAGCCAGAAGTCAGACGAAGCTAAAGCAGGCGAATAAAATGGTTTTGAGACGGTTTGGTAGTCAGAAATCACTTTTTTACTGATCTTAAACTGCTCTCTTTTTTGAAAAATGTGAAACCAAACGAGCTTGAGATCCAAATGGCTTTTAAAATCGATTGTATCGACCGATACGATATTTGTGTGCTGTCTACATGATCTCTAACTTATTTTCGTATCAAAAAAAGTCTAAAACTACACATTTTTGGATGAATGTTAACAAGGACGTTTCAGTAACTAGAAAGGATACTGACACGAAATTTGACATAGATTGTTAGGGTTCTACCGGTCTACTCAGGGGTGTCTTTACAGTTTCTTCCAAACCTTGGTTAGATTATATCAAAGAGAAAAAAAGGAACCCAGAGTAGATATTAATTACGCTCTCGCTTATTTCTTATTATTATTAGAATAAATACTAGGAGTGGAGTATAATTTCTTCCCACGATTGAAGAATTGTACCCAGCTTTGCCATTTATCAAGCCATTCTTCCAAAACCGCTCAAAATTGACAAATCTTGTAGGCTATATGACAGAAAACTCCATTAAAATTTCTTTATTTAGATATAAATATATTTTGATATCGATTTTGAAAGCAAATACATCTCGCTCGAAAAGGAACAACAGAAAAGGAAATTGCAATTTACAATATACTAATTGGCATTCCTTTCAAGTTTTGCTATGCGAATTACATTTGTAATACGAGGGTGGATTGATAAGTTTCCGGCCTAACCAAGAGATGACGCCACTAGGCCTACCTTGAGGTGACATTCTATAGTACCATNTATGTTGAGAAATAAAAAAAAAAAATTTTTAAAAACCTTGTTTTTCTTGGTCAGGCCGGAAACTTATCAATCCACCCTCGTATATGTATATTATGTGTTTTTATCACTGCCTCTATACAATTATTTGTTAATGAATTCGCTCCCTTGAAATGCCCGCAGAAATATTTTAAACGAAATTTTTCACTTCGAAAACATGTCACTTTACATTCAGCGTTTACATAAAATTTGTTATACCTCATGACGTCCGTGCTGAAGTTATTATTACGACAAAAATTCAATGTTATGTTGATAATAAAAAAATAAAATTGCCGAAACCGAATGTTCCACATTACGTTATTAGCTACTACTAAATTTTTCACGTCATCCATTATATAGACATAAAAATTGAGTGTAATAACATCATTTATTTTTATTTTCTAGAATTTTATCATAATCTTACAAATAAGCATATGTTGCTGGATCCATTTCCCAAATTTTATAACTTTATGAACATTTTATTATCAACAAACTGTTTTAAGATGTAATATTTTTTTAATAATTCAAAATCATCTTAAAAACGAACCAAGATTATGAATTTAGTTTCCATTTATTCCTTTTTATGATACAGATGTCAAGTTTTTTAATATGTACTTAGTTTAGATGAATAGATGGAAGGTACGGGTGCTTTAGTTATTTTTACGTAAAATAAACAAATTTAGGCAATCTAGTTTATTATTGCTAAATTCCACTTTACCTACTACAATACGTAGGTAATTATTGAATATCTGGAAAAAAAATATATCAACAAATTAATTTGTGAAAAACATTTATCAAACACAAACACGTCTAATGATTATGACGTGTTTAGATTAACTCGTTAACTGCAAGAATGATCTAAATAATGACTTCTATTGGTTGATCAGAGAAAAAATGTCAGAATTATGCGAATTTGAATATTTGCAACATCTGAAAGACCACTTGACAAGAGGGTTGCATTTTGGAGAAGTGCACTATTTTCAGTTAGTTCACGTTTCATCTCCGTTATGAAATTCATTCAGATTTTGAATGTAGAATAGGAAAAAGATAGAACTATTTGACCCTGCTATTCACTTTTCAATAACCATCATTGTAATATGTAAAATAAACATGCGAAATATAATTGCTTGAGTTTTGGGCGTAAGTTGGTGAGCCCACATTATTTTAATAAGTCGCGCTTCTTCATATAGATGAGTATAAAAACCGTTTGTCGGTAAACAAAAGTCGATGTCAAATGTCAATGTACTTCAGTAAAACAGTAAATGGACAAACAACTCATTAAAACATAAAGATTCTGAAAATGATGTTTCAAGTGTATTTGCAGAAAAGTTTTTTCTATTTACATTAACAACGTATATTTATTTGATGCAACAACATGACGGACTCGTACATATCATTCGTGTTTCAGTTTTAACTTTTTCTTTTAGATTTACTTTTTCTTGTGACATTTTAGTTTCAACATTCTATTACCATTAGTTAATTTAATGTTCACACATATAAATATTCGACTATTACATTTGAACTTTTTGTGTCGTTATTATGCAAAAGTAATATAAATAATAATAAATTGGCAGAATACTTGTTGCACTTTTCAGTTTTTAAGTTATTCATGATGTAAGTTCTACGAAACCTTGTAAACCTGTATTTATTTTCGCACTTGGGTGAAGATAGTTAATAGATAAACATTATATGTATATGCATACAAAAATACATATGAAGTTATATAAAACACATGTATAAACAAATCCCAAAAAATCTCGCGATAATTTTATATTATATACCATTTTATAAGTATTTACGGAATTGAACAATTTTTCTCAGAAACATAAATAACATGAGAGGAATTTGATTTTTATACTTAAACATCTTTGTGTTTATCATAAGAAGCAACTTTATTTATAGATTTTGATCGTTATTTCTTATTTTGTTTCTTTATTTTCGTCCGATACATAAACAAATACAACTTACTTGACATAATGCCAAGGTATCACATTGTAAAGGTTAATAGTAAAATTCAATATTAAAGAACGCAATTTGATAACACCCTGTATGAAACTTAACACCCTTTCAGATCTCTCGTCGTTTATCGACAAAACCGGCAGCATTCAAGGTCGTTCGTATGGAATTTGACCCCCTTTACTTCTGAAAAGTTTTATCTAACTTTGCACTTCTCAAGGAAACAGTTAACTAAATATATAGTAGAATAAGAAAAATAAAATAATTAAATTCTTTATTACTTAAAGCCAACTGCACCAACAAAATTGTCAATATTAATCGATAATTTATAGTCCCAGTTTTTTCTTTTGCGTATTACACCTAAAGTCTACCTTGATGTCATCTTCCAAGTTTCTAACTTATCCAGAAGTGGTCTAAATCTTTATTCAATCTTATGGGATTCTGGGAGTTCGAGAAGGCATTATTAAATATAAACAAATTTGCATGACTGGCTTTGTAGCTTTTGTGTTATGGGAAGGCGACGGTCTAAAACAGCCCAAAATCGTTCGCGTAATACATATAAACACTACTTTTTTCTTTTCCGAATCTGGCTGACACATCACCGAGTATCTAGACATGCTTTGCAAAATTCGTACTCCAATCTTCATTAACAATTTATCTTGAGTGATGTATTCTGTATTTTCTTGCTTAATTTCTCTCAAATGTGATAATTTGGGGTTGTCTACCTTCTAATCGATAGAGTTGCATTTTCTGTTGTTTATTTGTAGATAAGTTTCGTCAATTGCCGGCCTCACAACGACCAATTTCATGGCGGTGTCCATCACCATCACCATTCCCATTATTACCATAAAAACGGCAGCACTAGGTTCACATTCAATGACACCAATCCACGAATCCTGAATCGTCGTAACGACCATTCGGATCGATGTAAGTAAACAGGGCAATGAAACCGACATGTTTGGGTGACTTTGTTATTCGATTTTTACAGTCAGTTCCGATTTTGTTCCGGAAAGAGACCACAATGCGATCGTGTTTCAAGACTCTTCCGATTTCGTTTTTCCAAACTCATCCGAAGACGAATCCGATTCAATTATCCGTCCGCCCAAATGTCGCTCCGACGACACATTTTGCGAGGAGGTCGACTATTATCCGACTCAACAATTGACCCGGATATTGAGTAGGGCCTCCGTCGACAAAGGCTTCTTCGGGGAGGACGAGGCGCCCCCAGAAATCGCAAATCGTCTTGGAGAAACTGAAGACATGTTCTTCTGCACAAGTTTGGAAAAGGTGATTTCTCCGAAAGTAGCCAAAAACAAAAACGACAAATGGAGATACATCGTTAACATCGACACCGACAAATATGTGCAAAAGATCCGAGTGGAAGTTTGTTCAAAGTAAGGATTATTCACTTGTCCTATTTGTCTTTTTCTTCCCCTATTAACCAATTTCTTTTTTTTTTTATTTAATTTTACAGTTTACNAAAAAAACTATAAATTAGCATCGATATGGAAAAACTAAACGTGAAGATGAAAGTTCATTAATTTAATTTAATGAAATCGAAATTATTGCTCAATTATAGCCTTCGTTTGAAATTGTCCCAACGCCTCCACCAAAATGTCCAATAAATTTTATAATAACTATTGATAATGTTTCTGTATCTTCATGAGCAGTGTATTTTCGATACTTAAGCGATAGCTTACAATAAAAATTAACTTAACACTCGTAATTGATAACTAAATGCCAAAAAAAAAAAATGGTTTTATAAGAGATTCTATATCTCTGTTACTCTGTTTTTTTTTTAATTTCACAACAGTTATCTGAGACACAGGGGACAAGAGCGATGCAAAATATAAAATAATTCTTTAATAAAAATCGTAACTTATATTCATAACGATACAGAGTTGTGTAGTTTGTTCAAAGTAAGGATTATTCACTTGTCCTATTTGTCTTTTTCTTCCCCTATTAACCAATTTCTTTTTTTTTTTATTTAATTTTACAGTTTACTTATTATACTGTATAGATAATTGTAATACAAGGTCGCATTGGTTCCTATATTTGTGTATATCGGGATTTCGTTGTTTCGACTTCCAGGCGTCCCGTGGTGCCTAATTTTTTTTCTTTTTTTTAAGTCCTAATGGTCCCTGCAACTTGCTTAGCGACCCTCCAAGCGGTTACATTGTATTTTGCAAACAAAAATTCATGTTCCGTCGACTCCTTGCTGTAACTGATACAGGAACTCCAGAACCTGACACGTTCCAATTGCCGTCTGCGTGCTGTTGCGCTTACAAGAGAGATCCGGACTTTTTAGTAAGTTTTGGCAGGAGTTCTAGGAGGACGTGAACGATCTCTCGAGGCCAATGCCTCGGTCTGATGTTCCTTATTACCTAATATAATGAATAAATGAAAAATGTGTGAACTGTCTGGCGGTTGTGAATATACCAGAGAATTTCCAAGACTTCTGATTCAAAGTAGTCTGAATAAATCTCTAACATGATGAAGAAAAAAGAATTTAACCGAAATTAGTAATCCAAAAGCCACGGTAGGTAGATATCGGACATGTTACAGTTCATGATTCATCAATTTTAATTTTTATTCGTACAAGAACAGCCACAAATATAAATAACGTAATTATTAATAAACGATTTAATGGGGAATTTCCCGCACGGTAATATATAATTTAATTGTCATAACTGTTTACCTTTATCTGACCTTTGTAGAGACGGAAAAAAGTGTAGAAAATTAATATTGCACGTATATAATTTTTACACGATTGTTGTGAATTTATTTTCGTAAGTTTTTTGACTCGTTTCTTTTGACTTAAACTGTACTAACTGGCGCATCTTTCTTCTCCCTTAATATAATTCATCGATTTTGAAAACTTTCTTCGAGATCTTCAACAACAGAAATAAAATAAAGTTAATTCATCTGATTGACCTAAAATAACCGGACAATCCATTTAAAATAGACACAGACACACGATATGTATATAAGTAACCNTTTTATTTAATTTTACAGTTTACTTATTATACTGTATAGATAATTGTAATACAAGGTCGCATTGGTTCCTATATTTGTGTATATCGGGATTTCGTTGTTTCGACTTCCAGGCGTCCCGTGGTGCCTAATTTTTTTTCTTTTTTTTAAGTCCTAATGGTCCCTGCAACTTGCTTAGCGACCCTCCAAGCGGTTACATTGTATTTTGCAAACAAAAATTCATGTTCCGTCGACTCCTTGCTGTAACTGATACAGGAACTCCAGAACCTGACACGTTCCAATTGCCGTCTGCGTGCTGTTGCGCTTACAAGAGAGATCCGGACTTTTTAGTAAGTTTTGGCAGGAGTTCTAGGAGGACGTGAACGATCTCTCGAGGCCAATGCCTCGGTCTGATGTTCCTTATTACCTAATATAATGAATAAATGAAAAATGTGTGAACTGTCTGGCGGTTGTGAATATACCAGAGAATTTCCAAGACTTCTGATTCAAAGTAGTCTGAATAAATCTCTAACATGATGAAGAAAAAAGAATTTAACCGAAATTAGTAATCCAAAAGCCACGGTAGGTAGATATCGGACATGTTACAGTTCATGATTCATCAATTTTAATTTTTATTCGTACAAGAACAGCCACAAATATAAATAACGTAATTATTAATAAACGATTTAATGGGGAATTTCCCGCACGGTAATATATAATTTAATTGTCATAACATTGTTTACCTTTATCTGACCTTTGTAGAGACGGAAAAGTGTAGAAAATTAATATTGAACGTATATAATTTTTACACGATTGTTGTGAATTTATTTTCGTAAGTTTTTTGACTCGTTTCTTTTGACTTAAACTGTACTAACTGGCGCATCTTTCTTCTCCCTTAATATAATTCATCGATTTTGAAAACTTTCTTCGAGATCTTCAACAACAGAAATAAAATAAAGTTAATTCATCTGATTGACCTAAAATAACCGGACAATCCATTTAAAATAGACACAGACACACGATATGTATATAAGTAACCTAATTATTACTTTCGTAATTTCGGCAGAGAAAGTGCGTTAAAACAAATTAAAACACTTTTAATATTCATGAGATACTTTGTAGTAAGTGTTCTCTCTATTCTTTTTAATAAGAAGGTCCAAGATGAGTAATTAAATCGATAAATCAATTTGTTCATTTGGCAAACTCTCGCTTGATTTTTCCATTTACGCGAATTACGAACGCTGTGCAGCTAACCGATTGTGAGTTAAATGCAATTTTTAAACGTTTGTTTTAACATATTTGCTACGTTTTGTTTTTCCTGTACACACATTTTCCATTGAATTACTGTTATTGTTATGAATAACCATTCATTTGAATTTCATATTTCAAACAAGCGGTCTGTGTTGAGATTAAACTCGATTACTGTATACGGGCATATTTTCAAATCATTTTTCAAACACACATTATAAGCACGAATAATTGGACCCTGATATATTCGATAGAATAGACGAGATAAAGTATTAAATTATAATATAATACATAAGAACTGTAAAATAATTATTGTTAGCGCTACGTTTTAATTATATCCTATATCTATACGAATGTGTATATTTGAACAATACATACATATTTATAGACGTAAATATGACGATAACACCAGTGATTGATTTTAATTATTGTACATAAAATTTGTAAATATTGTACAAAATAACTAAAATAATTTATTAATATGTAATTATTCCTTTTCTGTTTAATGGAAAGCAAATACAGCAAAAAGTTATTTTTTTAATCTATTTACTTGTCGAACCCTTTTAATTCTTCGTGATAACAGGAAAAAATTGTTATTGTTAGTGAAATACAAAAGTGAATTCGTTAACCATCTGATAACGCAGTTTTAAATTAACTGAATTTTCGCGTTAATATAAAATTAATTGGTAATTGCTACAAAGTTTCCGAAACGATTTAAAATCAACAAAAAATCGTTTGCTAATTAACCACATCCACTTCCTGTTACTTAACAGTCTAATTTCGTCCATTAGTCGATTTTGCAATTCGGAATTCAAACAACTAAATTTGAGTGCGAGGAGTTAAAATGCAAGGGTAACTGGCCCAAACCCAAAAGCAAACATACACGCACCGTGAAACTATCCAATAAAATGCAAATTGTCTGATGATAAAGCTCCTGTAGCTAGCAAATAAGGGTTTATAGACGACCGGGACATAAAATTTATTTTTAAAATAAGCTACGTGTATATTCAATTCAACAGAAAATTAGGAAATTAATAATTGTAATTGTTTATGTATACTTCGATTTTACTGAAAAAATAGTGTTCTTTCAAAAATCAGATCGGAACCTGGTATACTGCATGTCGACTTTTATTTAATTTTTTATAATTCTACTACAATTTTCTGGGGGAAATGACAAAAATAGTGAAAAATACAAATTAATTATTTCGTAGTAAATCATAACTTATGTCAAAAACCATACAAAATTATTTTATTGAAATTTTACAAGAAAATGTTTTTAAAAATATTATTATCAATTAAGTATTTCTACGTAATATATGGGGTTATAGCTTTTTCTATAATTACAGTATTAGAGTTACAATATTTGCTGCATATTTGGTTGTCTATATATTATTTTCCAAATTATGGTTTAATGGTAAAAAAACTATAAATTAGCATCGATATGGAAAAACTAAACGTGAAGATGAAAGTTCATTAATTTAATTTAATGAAATCGAAAT